ATTTCAGTTTGAAGAAGAAAGTACGCACATGATATACATAATTATTTAAAACATTATTATCTATTTTTTAACATACATTTATATATCCATATATCACTAACTGTGCATCTAAACATCAATATTTAACATGTTTGTCGCAATAATAAAATAGTCGTCATAAAAATTTCTGCAACTATAACAAATCTTTTCCTCAAGAAGCGATTACACATCGATTAATCTGACATATTTTTATCATATTTTTGGATTTTCTTTTAATTAAAAAATATTTTATTCCACATGAAATGACGTAACAAAGTTAAATTCACATGCTCGTAATCGAAGCACGAGTGATAGCCTACGCATCATTCGAACACAGCTTCGCTAGGGGAGGGGGTCTTGGCAATAAATCTACGTGGGTGAGATCGACTTTTAGATTAAAAGTGTACGGCTCGGGGGCACATAAAAGAGGCGGAAAGGTGGGACTCGAGAGTTACCTCATATGAAATTTTCGCTCGCGCGCACAGGCCACCCTCGCTACTCGTTCTCGTTTGCATTCGTCGGTACCGCGCGCGATATATAGGCGCGAAGGTGCTTACTTTCGTCGCAACGAATGTCCGACACTGTGGCTCGTCGAAAAAGGAAGATATAGAGAGGAGCAAGAGAAACGCGGTGAAGAAGAAGAGGGAACGGAAGAGATGCTTACCGTTGAACTAAGAGAGGCCTCGTTACGTTCCCTTGGTCCAGGCGTATACGCAACGAGATAACATCAGTCCAGTACGGATATATACGAGAGAGTACGGCTACCTGCTGGTTATCGTACCGTGGAAATAGTAAAACGTGCTCGCAGCCATATAGCGTGAATTAGACGTACGATTTTTTATTATTTAAAGGAGGATTTTATATTTCGAGTTATATATATTAAAGAGAAGTTTAATTCTATCTATCGGATAAATCAATGAAGATATCGATTTATTCTGAATAGCTCAATTGTTGCCCGTTATAATTAATGCAATTATTAATGTTTTAATTTAACCTAGAGACCGGAATTATTTGAACGAGAATGATTTGCATATCGTATAACTTTATGATCATTATTTCTTGTTTCTTTGGGAATCAAGACTGGTCGCTTTGTGTAGCGTAGTTCGCTTTGCTTAATGTCGTGGTACAAATTAATGTCTGGCAATTTATACACGCACCGTTATGCGTCGCGCATTATTAAATCGATTTACTTATATTCCAACACAAAGCGCTGAGATTAACTACTTTAGAACATGAAATTTCTAACATAATAAAAGACAAATACTAGAGTCAGCTAGACAACAGTATGTGCTTACAAAAGTATTAAACGTATAGAAGTTTATTTTTTCGGTGTTTATTTCAACGTCGATCAAAAAGGTTTTTTATAAACTTATTTTTACGAATGTATTAAATAAAAATGCCATAAAAGATTTTATGGTAAAAAATGAGCAAGTACATTTATCTTTAATTTATTGATCTTTTTATTTAAAAAAAATGATAAAAATTTTGAAATTCTCTAGAAATATTAACCTACATAATAATTAAATCTCTAATTTAATTTATAATATAAATATATACATATAATCAAATTACAAGTGAATTAAGAATGAAACATTTTTTAACATTTTTATTAATTAAGTAGGAACTTTCAAGACATCAAAAGATTGTAAGAATGAAATAAAATTTAAATTTATACAGTTTTTTTTATTTTTTCTAAATTAAATTTAACGTTTACTAATGCGCACTTGAAAACTTAATAAGTGCACGAACTATTTTTCTTTGTTAACTTAACACACTTCCTTGACAGGAACATTCCTTGAGGGTACAATAATTAATCACCTTTTGTTCTATTTGCGAATCTCTTACTGGTTCTCCGTGTGAAATTTTTACTCGTCGTCCATAATAAATGCCACCCTCGTCGAGCTTTAACGAACCTTCGCGCAGATCTTCGAGTGCGAAATGTACGAGTTATTGCTCGCTGTTGAAGTCACGCCGAATCGTGCGGCCTACGTCGACACGAGGCAAAAGACCGAAAGATACTCGCAAGCTCGCATTAAGTCCGCTCTCTCTCTCCTCTGTTTTCTTTGGTCTCGGTCTCCCCGCCTCTCTCGTTGTCTTTCCTCGTCGACAAGCACGGGCCTGCAGCATCACGTCGAGAGTAAGAGGCGCGATCTCGTAATTATTACGTCGTGAAGGATGGGAAGTGACGCGATGATTACCGCCGTTGCCAGCCTCCTTGAAGCCCCTGATCCACCGCTCTCTTGCTCCGGTTCTATTTTCTTTATTTATCGCCGGGTTCCACTCGTGCGCCATACTTTGTACACGATTTGGCGACGAGGACGTCGAGTCGCGCGTCGAAACACGTTTCTCGTAAACCACGTAATACATGACGCGTGCTTTTATGAAGATAATAGAATGAGAAAATTTTTTTCTCAAGTTTTAGAACAAGTTATAACATGATAGTAATTAAGATTTAATTGGTATGACGATGACGTAATGACTAACAGCTTTCATTCAAAGTTTATAAATGGTTACACTATATACGTGCTCTATTCACACATAGAGAATATCCATGGTATATTATGATTGATCTTGCAAGAGGCGACTTTATCGTCGGAAACAAAGGCTTAAGCGATCAAGGGGGATTAGATTCGAATTTAAAACCTCGGCTCTTTCATCGCGCGACCGGAAATACGTGCTACAGTTATCCGATAGAAAATATAAAGTAGGAGAAGAGATCGACCCATCGAATCATGCAACAGTGTAAAAGTGCTGTCATAGTCCTGACAGGGTCAATTATCCCCACCGTGGACCGCCGCCATTCTCGACGTTAATTGTCGAGCGGTATAACGTAGCACGACATGCCGGCAGCGCAGGCGCCACAATAAAAAGAGGAGCAAACGAAGAGTGCGTCCACCTCGCACGGTAGGATGCACCCAGCCGCCATTTTGGTGGCGGTGCAACAGAGGCGTAATAACTGCGGGAATTCATGGTAATGGCGATAATGCGTGCCCGGACGACGGGGTCCGCGGGGCGGAAGAGGATAGGGGCGAGGCCCCTGAAGAGGCCCACCGAAGGAGTGGGGAAGCACCGCGTGTCATGATGCAGAAACTTGCGTATGTTTCGTGCGTACGTGCGAACACCGATCCCGAAAGAAAGAACCATGAGAGCGGGACCGGCGTGTTTCTGATTGGTCGGGGCACATCAACCGGATGTGAAGGTCGGCCTACGTTGGGGGAAAACATTCGAGAATTATCCCTTACGGTTTACACGTTACGATAGGAAACGTATAGGGAGGTCTGGCGAATTCTTTTGTATAGTCGACAATTGTTATCGTTGCAATGCACTCATTCATATTTTGTGATCAATTTCCTTCATTTTAAAGTCAAGAAGAAAAAATATTTTATTACTGCATAAATAATATAGTATTTAGGGGGCGTCCGTGTCTTCGCTATAAAAAAGGGAAACAATTTTAGCGACAATGTCTGTTACAATAATTAATGTTAACTAATACAGATGAGAGATAAAAAGTGAATAAGAAAAGATAAGAAAATACAGCATGAAGTTTTTAACGACGTTGTGCGTGGCAATCTTCTATAATATCTACTGCGGTTTTAATATTTTTCAATTTGTCTCTGTCTCTTGTATAACAGCATTATCATTTTATGTTTCTTTTAGCATGTAATTATACATGAGAAAATAATATTATCTATCATTATGTAAAACTGTATATTAAATGCATTTTGCACTCTCATAATTAAGATATGACAAAAATCACGGCAGGAAAGATAAAAAACGTGACGAATATACGTTGTGTGCGCCACCTTTGCATCACTAATCATTACGTTTAATGAACGTGCTTACGACCATCACCTCGTGTGCTTGTAATAATGATCTCTCTCATCATCGCACCGATATTTATCCTGTGTCCAACCCTTGATTTGGAGCAATTTGGAATAATGAAAATCTTCGTGTGTAACTTCCTGCGCGCAGTAGATAGAGTGAGAAATAAAGATCTTTAAAAAGGTCACAAGCTGAATCGTAACATGTGTAGATATTCTTGTAAAATTTAAAAAATTTATCACAGTGATTATGTAATTAACGTTCAACTTTTCAATAAAAAGACTTAGTTTAATTTATTATATATTTATCCTTTTTTTTAAATGAAACTATATTAGAACAATATATGAAATAATAATTTACTGTACGGCTTAATGATAATTAGAAGGGAATCTGAACCCTTCATTAGAGTTTCTAGAGGAAAAAGAATTTCACAGCTTCGTTACAATGAACCTTCGTTGACGTTTGTTCGAGAGGGATCTTCCCAAATCCTGAAGCACGTACTAGACTGGAAAAGCTGTTTGACGAATAAATACGTTGCAAACATAGTCGAGTGTGTGTACGAGGAATAACCCTCGGTCCTGATGTGGACAGATGTATGGCTCGAAAGAACACTCGTCGTCTTTCGAGAACTACTAGCTGAAGTGATGACAAGAAAAACTGACAGAGCTTAGCAAATGATGAACGTCGTATTACTTGAAGCGAACATATTTTAATAGTACTTCTACTCGTGCTCGATTGAAACTCCTTGAATTGCGTTCGAGTGACTTAATATGGAGCAATTAAAGCGTTTGAACAAAATCCAATATTTGAAAGTTAACGGCATAACACAGAATGAGAAATTAAACGTACTTATTTTTTGAGTGTTGAAATTTTATTTAATATCAATAGTTTGATTTTGTAAAAAGGATTAATTTCTCGTGGCTTTTTACTCATGAATGTTTTAATCTTAGTGTCACAGGACTTATATTTTTGAAAAAATAATTTTATTTTATATATTTTTCTATATACTAGTTTTTATGAGAGCGGATTTCACACGTTAAATTTTCCTGCTTTTGCTTATATTTGTATATAGTAAAGTTAAATTAAAATTAACTAGTACATTCCTCTGAACAAAGAAAAATGATAGCACTCTAATACTATACGAGAAATGTAAAACTTACCAAGAGTGCCGTCCAAAGAAAAAGAATGCCTATCGTTTCTCCATGCCCACGAACACAAATCGCAGGTGGTAAGCCCATCGGTGGCGATACTCTCTTCGGGTAGATAAGGTGGTCTAGGTGGCGGCGGTACAAAACTCCCAATAACAGCCCACAAGGAGTCGACGTCGTTACCGACACCGGTATAATACAATAAATCTTCCTCGGCGACACCGGCGAACCAGTCCATATCGTTTACACTAGGGTGGACTGTGTTCGTACTTGTCGTAGTTGAACCGGTGACTGTGACCTAAAAATAATACAATTGGTCAATACAAATTCACATAATATTAAAACATGTTTAAAGACGTACGAACTGTGTTTCTTATTCTTTCGATTTTAATGAAAAATTATCTTTGATTGGACATAAAGATCTTGTAATTATACGATATATTTGTAATGTACGATATATTTTCACACATACGTAGTTAGACAGACATATATTTATGTTATAACATCATACGTTTCTTTAATTTAAATAATATTAAATAGACGTTTGAGAAATTATTTTCACGTAGATATTTCAATTCTATAAAAAAGTTTCTGTTTTTTTAATTATATTTAATAATATGTAATTTTTGGAAATTTTACAATGTTTCTAATCATATCTATCAATTCTATAAAATAAATTGCTGTACGTAATCTATTATTACATATAGCGTGGTTTATATTTTGCTAGTCTATATGTCTCTCAATGTGCTCTGACAGTCCCAAGTAAACACGACTAATGGAACCCCCATATCTCTGTACGAGTTCTGAAAAAAGAATCGAACGCATCAAGTCTGTCCTCTCTGGTACATGTTTCAGGAAATGGTGGGACAAACAGACGTTAAAATCAAAAAGTGAGGAACAAAGTCGGCGCATTTCTGAACATTTTTCTTACTTGAAACAGTGGGGAACACCGGATGAAGCGGGTCTTTGCAAAGAGATGTTCAGTGTCCTAACTCTTACGACAAACATTGAAAAACTGTATAGGCAGTAGCAAACAAACGCGCCTTCTTTCTTTCTCTCGCTCTTTTAAATCTCTTCCTGCGTCTTGTACAAAAATTTAATGAAGAGACTTATAAACTACACAGCAACTAGACGTCCATACGCTAATTAAGGAAATAAATTATGTAAATATAATAAACATACTCTCGAAAATTTTTGAACGAGTAGGAGATAACGAGAATTACAAACACATACGGGTTTCTTTATTTTTGATATAAATTAATTCAGATTATGTGATATTTAACTAATTATTAATAGATGAAAAAGGGAGCGAGTAAACTAAAACTTATCGAAAGGTAGGACAATGTATGCTGTTTGATAAGAATAAGTTTAATAAAAAGAAAATAGGTCATATAAAGAATCATATATGTATATGATTTAATATCACAATTCAAAATAATTTATTAACTCAAAATATAAATATCTAGCTCTAAATTGCTAAGCAATAAAAAGAAGATAAAAAGAAAGTCTTTATTTTAGAATAAGTTTATTTCAATGTGGCGTACATAAGGTGGAAGCCTATATGTATATCATTTAACATATTTATTTATTTAAAAATATCTAAAGTGTATGTATACGTATTCTTTCCGTAAGAAATAAATGTGCATCTGAGATCATAACGTAATCACGCATGTGGTAAATATGAGATGATCAAGAAAATCGAGAAATACTGTAACTGTGTATAGCATGAAAAAAAATATATTTAGATATGCGTAGATCGTCAATGATTACTTTGAAAGACGATGATTTCGTAAAGCAAAATTCCATGCTATAAGATAGGAATTTAATGAACAATTTACGAGTCGATAAGTAGCGAATGATTATTCGCAAACTTTCCGTGCTGATATTTTCGATCGTGTTGTAATCATAATGATTGAAGTACAGAAATATTCGAACGTATGACTTTCTTTTTTGATTACCATAATTGCAGTATGCTTACTTAAAAATGTAGATATTTTTTTGCAAATGGGGATCGCATGCAACTTTGAATTAATGACTTTATCCATCCATTGCCATGAGGCATTCCAACGTGTTTCATGTGAACCGCATATCAATCTAAGATGCGCAATCAGATATTCAAACGGAATGATACATTCGTGATTTTAGAGATTAGTATTAGAGATAAATGTAGCTCGTCATGAAGGAACGAAATATTACGGTGCTTTTAATGTGCTTTTACAAATTACTATAGATAAGCAACTTTCTTCTTAATGAAGCGTACTAAATAAGTTTTCCAAAAAGAAAAAAATGTAATGTTAAAACTAATATATTTCAATCCTAATTTATATTTCTTTAACAAGAAAGTTGCATATAATAATGAGATGAAAATGAAGTATATCAATTGAATACAAGAACATTACATTGAAATATATATTTAAAAATGCAAAAAAAATTAAAAAATTATAATAATACTAAATATAATTTTTTTCAATTTTCTTAAATCGATCATCTTGCATTTTTTTTTATATTTTAATTGTGTAAAAAATGATTTTACAGTTTGTACATTATGTAGACAATTTAAAGAACTTCCTAATCTGCGTAATATTGATAATTCCACATCACTTTAAGAATCTTTTAAATCTATCTGCAAAATATAACGACCGCTATTAAGTACGATGCATTAAAGATATCGAATGATTTTCGTGTTCGGTCGTCACGCTTTAAAGGATTAAAAAGATTGAGAAGCATAGAAACAATGCCTCGCGAAGCGTTCCTCTCCATTGAATTCCATCAGCTTCGGATCTGATCGAACGATCGAACGAAATAATCTCCCCATGAAGGGATCCATTCGAGTGGTTCTTCATGTCCGATGTTCGCGTCACCGGTAGGTAGAAGGCCCAACGGTTTGCGTATCATCGACGGGATTGGGAGAGTCACTGTGTTTATTCTCCTCCCCGTTCTTTGTCGTGGCTTTTCCACGGCGGTGAGGTGGTCGCGGTGAAGATTCGACTGCAGGCAGGATGCGTCCTTGTATCCCCACGGAAGGTGGGATGCTTTTGTAGCGTGCGGAGGAGGCTCGTGGTCGGGATTGCGGATAGGAACCCGGGTGAAGCACTGAGGCTCTCCGCTTGGCGCACAATAGCACGCATTGATCGGCTTAATTACCGTGATATCGGCGTAATTAAAGCCCCGTTGTGTTGGGACCCTTTCTACGAAGGCGTCGAAGTAACCCGTGACTCGACTCCCGGCGTCAGGATTCTCGCATTCTCTCCGTCTCTCTTTTCGATTCCTTCGTACGATTCTCGTCAAGGCCTCTCTGTCACTTCCCCGCGTTCCTCGGCAACGCTTTGTTAATAAGCCATTATCCGGCCGGCGACGCACCTTCGGCGGATCGGCGAGGCGCGCGTTCAATCGCGTGGTGCTTTTAAAGAAGCGCGGCTTGTAGAGGCCAGCCATGGAGAAATTACGAAGGCAATCTTATCCGCGGCGTGCGCGGGGCCATCCAGGTAGAGTCAATTTTTCAAGTGAGCACATCCGCTCACTTGAGTGAGTATATCGCAATTTAGTATCGAGAAAAGAGACGAAAGATTATGCCCACGTAATGACGAACGATATTGGAAAGACCTTGCCTTATATCTCTCATCTTTATTTTTTTTTTTATATTGTATACTTGGTAAAATTTTTCTTCCAGCATTAATAATTACTTCTAACTCATTTCGTTTTTTATTAATAACGTCAATACATTTAATTATTGAACACTGTTATTTAATATGTACGACTTATATAATATTTTGATCATCCTGTACGTTAAACAATATTTTGAGACAGTAAAGAATCAGCAAACTGTCACACGCGATTATCCTTTCCGGATTTTTAACGTGGCGTCATAAATTTTTTGTGTGATACTGCATTATCTGTGCGCATTTGCATCGTTTGGATTCAAGGCCAAAATTAAAGTGTCGTGTATATTATCTTTCCAGATTGACTGTGAAGAGGAGAGTCATAGCCGAAGACCGTAGTCAATCTCGACGTTGTGACCGCTTCAGATTTAAGGTTAGTGACACAAGAACCAGTTTACATTTTTGTTCGCGATAGTCACGTTTACGACTAAACGATTCGTTAGATATACGATAATACTTCCTATACGACGTACACAAATATTTTATAAATATATCCACGTTCGTAGCTAATTGAATGTTAAAAAATAAGGACTGTTCCATTAATTTGCGACGTTTGATGCATGCCTTTAACAAGGACTGATCCAAAGTGCTAGCTATTCGAGCTATCACTTTCTGATCTCATCAGCTGCGCTCGTTATATTCGAAGGAAACATCTCGTTATAATTACGAGGCGTTGGCGTTTACGAGCGCAAAGGGATGAAGCCTTATACTTGTTAACTTTAACATCCTGTTCAACTACTCTGTTCTTTCTGGACAAGCATGACTCAACCCTTTAAAAGATTCGTTAACTCGAGCTTTGTGTTCTAACGCGAATTCGTGCGTTATCGTGAATATGAACAATTGCCTTTGTTCACCATATAGGTATATTATCGAAATTATTTACGTGTGTATTTATGATCGATAAAAATATTCTTTTTTATTCGATTAAAATTATCATCGTACAACATAAACTGTTTGAAAATTAGGATAAAATCAAAGTATTAAAATTAATAGATATAACACGCAATTAGCATATAAATGTTTGCACGAATATTACTCACGACGATTGAAACATAACTTTTACGCGATGGGAATATATAGGAAACGTCGAATTCAAAGGGCCGACATCCAGAATGTGACTAAAATTATAGGGATTGTTTCAAATTTCCATGTTAAAGTAGACCAAGATTCTTCCGACATTTCGGTTGCGATTCACACCATTGTCTCTATGGCTCTTTTCGCATCCCCCTACCGACATTCTTCGTCTGTCTTTCCATCTGTCGTCTTCGAATATATCTTAGAGCTCGCACCGCGGAATTCGCGCCCCGTTTCTATCGAGTCGCTGCCGCCGCCTCTCGACGTGTTTCGTCGGACCGCACGTATTTGCAATTCTGACACATTTGGCGGTGAAGTATAACACAGCACGCTATTCGTTGGTGAATCTGCTCTCCTCGAGACAAAGACAAAAGGAGAAGAATATCCCATGAGCTCTACGTGGCGGGAACGTTTTGGAATATCAAATGATTCTTGGAAAGATCCTCCCTGGTCCATCTCACGTCGTCTCTTCGTCTTCGATTCCGTTCTCTCCGTCGTCGTCACTGACGTTGTTTCGCGATCTTCGTGGCCCCCGTGAATTTTCGGCGCTTCTTGGCGCAAGGCG